GGGGGGGTTGTCAAGGGGGAATTGTTTATATATACATTATCTTACTTAGGGACCCCTAGAAAGTCATTTTAGGCCTTCCATGTGACCGTGTAAATCCCAAAGTGACATCAAAAGTTATGGCAATCTGGAGCCATATTTCTCTATTTAGGTAAATTCTGTTAGGCTGTAAGGAATTTTATGGTCAAGATGAGATATATATTTTCCTATTTCTACCTTAACTTAGTCGATAAGATACAAAAAAGCGAAAATATAGGACGCGCAAAATCGCGTAGCATACTTCGCGTGAAAATGGAACCGCATGACGCTAAGTTCTAATTACGTAATTGAAACCTTAGCGGGAGCAAAATGCTTAGCAACCGACCACCGTGGCATGAAATCACTTATTGAATATTTCAAACATGGCGATTTGCTGGAGTGAAAGCGAAGTTGTAAACGACATTTTAACAACTCTTCAAACTACCTCAAAAGGTCGACTAAGCTATGATCCAGATTGGCAAACAAATGCTGAGATTTCAAACCAACTTTCTTGTTCGTTCGAGTCATTTTTGAATGAGTCTTGGGACCCTCTTGGGGGTATAAACACGAGCTTACTTGGTTTGGAGGAGAATAACAGCGATACAAGCTCTGAAAATGAAGCTGAATCAAGCTTAATGACAGAATTAAATGATACTGCTAAGGAAACAAACAAATCTGTAGGGATCTCGGGAAATTTTGACAGCATAAAGCAGTATCACGATGATTGTCGCGTGAATGCGGAACAACGGAAAGCCGAGCGGGCGCGGATACTCGAAGAACGGATGGAAATTTTGAAGATTGATAGTGAGCAAACACTGAGGAATAAACAAGAAAATTTGGCTGAAGAGAAACGACAATTTGAAATTGAAATTAAAGAATTGCAACGGCAAGATGCAGAAGAGTTACGGAGGAGAAAAGTGGAACTTGATAAGGAGGCCATGGCATATAAACAAAGACTTGATGAAATATTCACAAGGTCGCTGACAGAGGAAAGTCTCGTCGCCAGAGAGAGGGAGCAACGAATAGCTGTGCTTGAAAACTTAAAGAAAAATGTCACTTTGCTTTACCAACAAGTTTTAAGAAACATTGAACTTATTCAACAGAAATTTGCTGATTCTAAGCACATGTCATTTGTTGATGCACAAGTTGCTGAAGATATTGCGACTGTGTTAGACAGAATTCCTCTGAAAGCTGAAGCTGAACTCTCAAAATGTGAAGCATCTCACGATATATCTGATGTGGAAGACCATCTAGAATTAATGAGAAAGTTGATTCAAGCAACATTGTCTATTGATAATAACGTAGGACATATTTTAAAGACAGCGCAAGAGAAGGCAATGGCTGCCACAAAGAAAAGAGAATCAGAAGAAGCAGAACGACTTAAGCTTGAGGAAGCAAAACGACAACATCAAGAGGAAGCGAAACGACAACATCAAGAGCAAGCGAAGAAACTCAAGGCCAATAAAAAGCTATCTGAGAAACTTTCTGTACCAAAAAATGAAGAAAGGTTACCTATAGCAGCTCCACAAACAAGCAAGAAAGAAAACAAGACAACAACAGCACAAACATTTACAGAATTTATTTCTGACAAAGCTCTAATAGAGTACATGGAATTACAAGAACATTTGAACACAGTACAGGCATCATTTAAAGGTTTTATTTCAGATTCAAAATATAAACAATATAAATTTGATTTGCTAAAAGCTGTCAATATCCCCATTAATACTATATCAGCTCATTCACCAAGCCAATTGAATGATAAAATACATCGCCTTGTCTCTTTGATTAGTGGAAACAATGTCGAAGTTGGAGGAAGGAGAGTTAACTGCAAGGCCCATCCAAGTGCCATGGTAAGATACAGTGCATCTTCCAACTGCTGGCTTTCACTCAGAATTTGGGAAATTACAAATGGCAGAAAACAAAGTTACTTACATTTTTGCATTCAAGCCAAAGCATACGTTACTAAACTTTATTTGCCTCTTGAAAGAACTCATCTTTCTTTACAAACAACCTTTAAGTAGCTATTGCTATTGCGACTATTGTCGGTGAAATCATATAGATCAGTCCAAACAACTTCAAACGTTTTAACTGTTGACATGGTTATAAAGCTGTGAAAATGATGTAAATAATGTATCATGCAGTACGAACAACTACAGTGTACTAGAATGCTCAAGGGAATATTATTTGTTAGTCGCTTTTGTCTTGGAGTAAAAATGCTATTGTTGATGAGCATGTCTTCATTGCCGTTGCTGTTGTAAGTTCCCAAACTCACTATTATGAACAGCAGATGGTTGACACTTTAGGCGCAAGTCTCACAATTCTACCAAACCGCTACTGGTACTACATATAATGAGAACATTATTTTCTCACATTGATGTTGAGCACCATCTGCTGCATAATAATTTTTAGTGAATCCCTTATTGGGCTTAGTCGAGGTAAATTATTGTTTACAAAGTATTTTGTGTTGTAGGTATTTTGCAAAGATCTGGTGGCAAAAAAGCTGGTTATGCAAGGAGTTCAGCAAGTGTTGTACAACCCTCAAACTGCCTTTCTTTATGCTGCTGTTATTGTTGGAATATGGACGGCGTTTCCAGATGTCGGCAAACTCATTCTTGCTTGTTTCCACCGAAACTACCCGTACCTCGTACCTTACTACATCCCGCAAGTTGAGGGCCAATCAAACAATGATTACCACAAGGCATTAGGTTACTCTGTTAACAATGATAGAATTGAGGACGAGAATAATTTCTTGACGAAGTTTTCAGGGACAGTTCAGCTTTATGCTGCGGTTGTATCGTCAAAAGGTGCAGCCACGCCAGACCACCCTCATGGCATTGACAAAGGTTGGACTTGGCTGGCCCGAACCCTCAACCTTAAACCACACCCAAGCGTAACAGCGACAATGCTGTTTGAATTTATCAAAGTTGCAGGTCACCTCCTGATGGAAAGATACCGTAAACAATTTCAGAAATTACTCCTAATGCTGTACAAAGATTTTATCCCAGCCATGGACAAGGTGACACCACCAGAGAAGCAAGGACCTATGCAGAGATTTAAGGATTTCTTGGATGAATGTGTTAAGACACAAAAAATTCCTATGCCTAAAGGATACCTTACGGAACGATGGTGGCACAGTGGACACTTTTAGAAATGTTTATACCTGGTTTAGGGGTTGACCGAGAATAGGGCCGATCTTTGATTTATCAATAGACAATCGGTAGAATTATCTCTATTTTCTGATTGTGTAAAACTGATTGAAAATACGCACTTTAAAAATTATATTCATTGCACATTGATACACGCTGTATATACAGCTGTTTCAATTAAGGTTGTCCACGAGCAAAGCGGAAAAGTCGAATATGAGCGTGAAAGGCTGCTGGGAATTGCTAAAAAATTAATGAATTTATTAGTGATTCCCAGCAGCCTTTCGCACTCGTATTCGACTTTTCTGCTTTGCTCAGGGACAACCTTAATTGAAATAGCTGTATACAAACACTCAACCTGATTCCACTTTTTAATGAAAATCAAATGTTTAATCTCTTGCATGAATGACAGTATATTACATGTTTGGTGTGAAGCGAACTGTTACCACAACAAAATATGTGAAGCATGCCGTTTATGAATGGTTTTGACAAACTTTGGGTAATCTAGTTATTTGCTAGCTAATTATATTCTTATCATGTAGTGATCAATAACTTTAAAATATATATCTAAATATAAAAAAATTGCTTTTAATTACCACATTCGAGATGAGATATCTTTTTCATGTAGTTCAGACACAAACCACGACAGCTTATTGCCTTATTGTATTATACTACCTACACTGGACCACAATGTTTGAGATATCTTTCGTTTTCAGGTAGTTCAGACACAAAACATATGGTAACCACGACAGCTTATTGCCTTATTGTATTATACTACCTACACTGGACCACAATGTTTGAGATATCTTTCGTTTTCAGGTAGTTCAGACACAAAACATATGGTAACTTGATACGCAAACCCCCCACACTTGCCATATTTTAAACACAATCTTTTAATTAAAAACTCTCAATCAAATCAAATTTACTTGCAATGATTTTATTTTGTAATAGCATCTGTGTTTACTTTTGTACAGCTGTGAAGATACTTTAAATATTTTTGACTGTTTTACGTCGGCATGATACCAAACTGTGTCACAAGCTTGACAATATGCCATATGAACCTATCCTATGCTCAAATATACGTAATTTAATATACAATGGTGTTTTTACTACAATACTGCACATATTTGTCAAAAATGCTTTAATATTTCCAGTGTTTATTTCGGGTAATGGACCATCACGACATCAGCGACTATTGGGTCGCTGTCTTCGCTCAAATCAACATCATGTACTGTATCTGTGAAGTAATCTCCTTTGCGTATCCATTCTTCCCCGCTAGGTTTCCACCCGACATTTAACACTGCAGAAACAGAGTACGCTGGGCCTAAATTCTCTGGCTTTTCACAAACGATTGTGTAGTTTAATCCCTCGGAACCGGGGCCAAGTTTTGTCCCAACTGGAAGCGACTGTTCATCTTTTCCCAACATCACAGCACTTGCATCCATGAGGCTCACGTCGTTAAGTTCGACCTTCAAAAAAGACTCTTCGCCCAAACTGATTCCTTCCTCCAAGCCAGAAACAGTTATCTTTCCGGTTAATTTCATTTTTGTACTGTTTAGAGGACTCACGAGGACAGTAGCAAGGAATAAAGCGACAGCGTACAGCTTTATGTACAAATTCAAGACAGCCATGTTTGTTTTGTTCATTTGCGACATTTGCTCGCGAATTTAAAGTTCGCGTTTGCGCGCCTTCGCGCGGGAAAATGAATATTTTGTGTTACGTGAACACGAAATTTGCTACACAAAACACGAAGTTCTCACAAAAAGGCACGAATTCTGACAAAAAATCACGCATCACACACAATCACCATGCGAAATTCAAACAAAAAGCATGAATTTTTTTCTAAAATCCAAACACAAAACATATACTAGACATACAAGCCATATATGAAAATAATTAACATTATTTTCTCTCTGAAAAAGCAGGTTGTATCGTACACAGGGCCGCTGAGCAAGGGAGGCATTCTCCCCCGGGCCCGCAGCAGCTCAAAAGGGGCCCCCAGACGAAATCCCTCAGAATTTCTTGATACAAGTTTGCTTTAAATAATAATAACCGAAAATGTAAATTCTCATTTACCGGATAATATGCAATAAATCATAATATTTTGTAAAGCAGTGTTTCTCCCATTTTACAATTAAGACATCATAGAGGCCTAATTTGGCAAATTCGATAATGTCAGAGGCCCCTGGGGAAGTTTTCTTCAGGCCCCCTCGGTGGCACTGGTCACATAATGGTCCTTTGTGAAATTCTACATTATGCCAGAAATTAACAAAGTTCAAAAATATATATTTCCCATCTTTTCTATAAATTAGTTTCTCTCACAGCCACTATAGTTAGCCAGTGGGCAGCCAGGCTATACATGAACTTATGTTCTGATCAATACTGTTTGGTTTCGAATGACAGTGTATTTAAACTAAATACTATTTCTCCTTCTCTTTATCTAACAGAGCAGATCTGATACCAACTTTAGTTAGTTCTTCAATCAACTCTCCATTTTGATGTAACTGCATGATAATATCACAGCCACCAAGAAGCTCACCTCCAACATACACCTGACAAAACAAACAATATTCTCTCTAAGGGCCTGTTTATATGGAAGCCAGGCTGGCTTAGCGAGACAACGTGGTAAGCGGGATGAATTTCTCTTGTGTTTACATGAGAGAATTCCATCCCATTTGACAGGACAATTTTGTTTTGACATTGTTTTGACAGTTGTTAAAAATAGCTTGCGGCGGTATCTGTGAACTTTCATCCCAACAACTACTGTAGGCTAGCCCGCTTGTGAGTGTTTATATTCCATCCTGGTAAGTGAGATCTCAGCAACCGGGCCAGGCCGCTTGTCCATATAAACACACAATAATTTTTACTATAAAAATAACTACACAATGAGATCTCACTTACCGGGGCCAACCCGGCTTCCATATAAACAGGCTCTAAGAAGCTCCTCAATAGGGTTCATAAATCCTTAATCCAGCACCCAAATTATATCTCCCTATCCGAATGTTTTTCCATCCCTCCTTCAAAGAATTAAATGTTTCAATGCAAGCCACACAGGTTGTAACAAACCTGCAGCAGCCTTGTTATGTGTACAAGCTGTTCCAACAACTTGTTAGCATCCTGTAATTCAACAACTTGTCAACAAGTTGTGAGTGACAACCTTGTAGCAACTTGATGTAAACATTCAAAGAACTTATTGTTACAACTTGTTGACAAGCTCGCTACAAGCCTGTTGCGAACACATCTTGTTGACAAGTTGTGAGATTTTTGTGATCATCATTACACCAACCTATCAACCTGCATATTGCAGAATTATGAGCCAATCAAATTGCATATACCGCTCTATATTTCTACTTAATATACCTGTGGGAATGTCGGCCAGTTTGAGTAGACTTTCATTTCACTGCGTAAATCTTCATCGTCCAGTATGTTATGACTGTCATATTCATCGACTCCATGCATTCTCAACACTTGCACCACGGCATTACTGAATCCACACATAGGCTGAGCTGGGACTCCTTTCATAAAAACAACAACTTTGCTGTTTTGAACAAGACTATCTAGCTTAGTTTTGTCCCATTTTGCACTTGCACAGAGCAATCTTCTTGATTGCAATGTAGGGCAACTCCTTTTCAAATTTGTTAGAGATTTTGTTAAAACAAAACTTCGTCTTAAAGTATTTAGATTCATAGTCCACAATATTTTTATTTTTTAGCCAATTCTGTGAACAACTCCCCCCTGGAAAGATGGGAGTTTTAGACCTTTCCAGGAGGGTGCACGATTTCGAATTTTTCGATGGCGTCTTATTTTTTCAATTCTGAATAAGCACCCCCCGTGGATGAGCGTAATTTACATTAGTATCAGGGGGTGCACCAACCTCGTACCCAGGGCCTTTGCGCGGTTCAGAGGCTCTGGTACGGGAAGCCTCTGAACCGCGCAAAGGCCCTGGGTACGAGGTTGGGGGTGCACAGATAATAGTGAGCTTAAGCAAGTGACGTTTTTGACAACACGAACGGCATGAGTAACGTCAGAAGACTGGGTCAAGGGCTGTGATTGGTGAAAAACGTCAATTTTACTTCCGGTCGACGTTCGTGTTGTCAAAAACGTCACTTGCTCTAATACACGAAAGTGAGGCTTTATTGAAACCATGTGTTGTGGTCTGATATCATACGTACTACACATTTGCATTTTTAATATTTTTTCAGTATATCTTTTTCGGATTATGAGCCATTCGAAAGATATAATAAGCTCCTATAAACTAAAGGTAACGAAAGGTAAAGGTTTACCAAATTGCCTAAGTAAAATTTTAAACAAAATGTCATTTACCCGTCAAAAAATCTGTCTACCGGTAAAATTATGCAAATTCCTTCCTTCTCTAAAAGGAAAACCACTTCCGGAAAGGGCGCAAAGTCCATTGACTTGGGAAGTCAAAATCCCGCTATTTTTAATACTGAAAAGCAAACGTTTACTGCTTTGAGAATAACACTATACCACAGTAAAGCTTACCTAATCCTCTAAATAAAAGAAACGCAGGATGAATGCTTTGCAATTATAAGATAAAGTTTGGATAAAAGCAAATCTTTTTTGGCTTAGCGGATCACTGGATCAGATGATCTGACGTCACAGCTGATGAAATATACATTGTTGTTGTTTGCAAATTTTCCGTCTTTCTGAGGCGGAGTTTGCTGAAGGAAAACCATTTCCGACAAACTCCCTTTGTAAAAATGGGTGGCCAGGTTTCAAGGACTGATTTTGAATGGACTTATACAGAAGAACCTCATACTACAAGAAGGAAAGAAATCTTAAGTAAGCAAGTTTAAGTGCTTTCAAAGGCAGGGCTTGACAGCTGATGCTTGCCTGATTCAGATTTATCTTTATATAGAGAAATCACCAGTTACTTTTCACCTTACTGACTCGCCCTTTGAGAAATATTGAAAACGTTTTAGATCTTTGCTCTATTCTAGATGTTTTAGCAAAGAAATTACGTTTCGCCATTTGAAAAGTAACCGGTTGTTGTGCTATATACTGGCGTATTAAATATGTGCAACACAAATTTAAACCTTACCGAAATAAACATTGTTTAAAGCGTATATGTGTGTAGTTTTCGCTTGTATTTGAATGTTTAATACAAAGCTTAGTTCCTGTGTGTTAAGATAAAGTATATTGCTTTTCCAATCTCAAATATTTCTGTATTTATTTTGCGAATTTGTCGGAGGATTTATATTCTACATGTTTGTTGCGAAATGTCAAAACGTTTGCATGCTAAGTTTCGCACGCGGTCTAAATGCATTTCTTTGTTATTTTGACAAAAGAGAGTTAAAACTGTAATAAATGTAGTGCTTAATAGCATCGGATGTCTGCTGAAATTCACATGCTTTCCTCTCGCAAAGCCGACGGATTGAGAAATGTTTGTATTTCAAATCTAATAAATATTTTAGACAAATAAATTCTCTTGCATGTTGCAACACATTTGACTATTTCAGGCAGACGTTACGGTACTAGACATATGTAAAATAGGTTTTTGCCACAAAGAATAAACGATTAGTCACCGTACAGCAGCTGCAAATAAGGCCGCTCCTTTAATAGCATATAAACAAGGAAACCACTAGAAAATGTAAAATTCATAGCCAACTGAAGAATTCACAATTTGTTTGCACTTTTAATATTTACTGCAGACAGTTTCTATTTAGCAGAGGGAATTTGCATTTTCTCCCTGTGAAAATAAAGTGCCATTAGCATGGAAAATATCAAAGTCAGGTGCATTAGGACATACTGCAGCTTAATGGGTTTAATAGCTAGGTTAGCAAGAGACATTGGCAGACACTGCAACACTTTCGCTTTGATATTAGACCGAGTAATCTAAAAACATAGGGAGCATTGTTAACCCATCAAGTGCAATACTCTTCCCTTGACAAGTAAAATTGTCTGGAGATTCACACAACACAACTTTCGCCTGAAACTGTCACATGCAACCTGCTTACAACCCGAGCAGCACTGTGTAAATCAACACAACTCACCTACGACAACATAAGTGAGTTGTGAGCTTCATTTACACAGCACAACTCAAGTTGCAAGCAGATTCGCATGCGACAGTTTTAGGCAAAAATTGTGTAGAGTAAATCAGCCTTAACCCATTAAGCTGCAGAGCTTCCCCATTGAGGAGTAAAATCGTCTGGCGTTAGACAAGTAAAAAAATAAGTAGGGCGCATTGCGGCTCAATGGGTTAATTAACTAGAGACATTGTCAGATTTTTTGGTTAACCCTTTAAGCTGCATAGCTTCCCCATTGACAGGTAAAATCGTCTGGTGTTAAGACAAGTAACAAAATAAGTAGGGCACATTGCGACTCAATGGGTTAAATTGTTAACCCTAAAACATTCCCCTTGACCAATATATTGATCTGGCATTAGACCAAGTAAAACAACAAAGGTGTATTTCATCAAAGTAACTTTCCTACATTGTTTTTTTTTTTCATTGTAGAAAAACATCCTGAAATAAAGACGCTGATGGTAGTTGATCACCAATTCAAATACCAGGTCGTAACCTTGGTCATCCTGCAATTCATTGCCGCATATTTTGTTGGACAGCATGCCAACTGGCTTATGGTGTTTGTACTTGCCTACTGTTTCGGCGGAGTACTTAACCACGCCTTACTTCTGGCTATCCACGAGATTGCCCATAACGCAGGGTTTGGTCATAGCAAACCATGGCATAACCGGGTCCTGGGTATGACTGCAAACCTTCCCATTGGAGTACCATGCACATTCTCGTTTAAAAAATACCATCTTGAACACCATCGCTATCAAGGGCAAGACATGCTTGATGTCGACCTGCCAAGCGAAATGGAGACCAAACTGTTCACCAACACCTTCACAAAATTCTTCTGGGTGATCTTACAGCCATTTTTCTACGCCATCAGGCCGTTGTTTGTTAACCCCAAACCACCGCAACCAATGGAGATATTTAACACAGTTTCACAATTCGCCATCAACGCCTTGATTGCATATGTCCTTGGTGCTAAGGCATTGGTCTACCTTATCGCAGGCAGCCTGTTAGGGATGGGCTTACACCCGGTCGCAGGTCATTTTATCTCGGAGCATTACATGTTCAAGAAAGGTTTCGAGACATATTCATACTATGGCCCCCTTAATATGCTCACATTTAATGTCGGCTACCATAATGAACATCACGATTTCCCAAGTGTCCCTGGTTCATTACTTCCAAAAGTGAGAGAAATTGCACCAGAATATTACAACAAGCTACCCCACCACACGTCATGGGTCAAAGTACTGTACGATTTCATTACCGACCCTGCAATTGGACCTTACGCTAGAGTGAAACGTAAACGAGCCATGGACAACCTCAAAAACGAAAACAATGAATGATTTCTGAGAAGCAAAGGGGAAACCCTATGACTTTATGTACAATTAAGGCTTTAAAACCTTAAACTGCACTTAGTGAAATTTTATTCACTCTTGTACAATTCAAATAATGTGTTTATGTAGTATATTATGCTAAAGAAATTGAGAAAGTTTATACCTAGTAATAAATGTTATCAAACACAAAATATATGTTGTCAACACTTGAAATGAGCATATAAAAATAAATTATGAGAATGTGTTACCTTTGACATACTACTAAAAATGTATTGCTGGTTCATAATACCACTTGACCTGGTTCTCATTAAATGCTGGTTTTGTGTATGTACTAACCTTGCAAAGTTTCTGTGATCACAGTAGGAATTCTACATCGGTAAATTCTATGTTTTGAAGGATTTGCAAGAAATGTTTGAGGGAAATGACTGTTAAACAGTGAGTTAGTTCCCTCTAAAATACCTTGCAAATCCTTCAAATCTTCCAAATGCAAAATTCCTACTGTGATCACAGAAACTTTGATAGTGTAAAGTGTAAACCAGACTTTAAGATGAACAGGTCTATTTCTCAACTCCATTGAGATATCTCTTTTCTTTATACAAAACATTCTTCATACATAGCTGTTTTTGTGTTAACTGTCATACTTTTTAAGCCCAAAATGGCCTAATGAACAACCTGTGTTACTTTTCATTTCCCCACATAAGATTTAGTCACTCTCTGGTGGTCTGGAGTCTGTGTTTGTGTGCTTGGTCTTTTGCATTAAACCACTAGCAAGTTTACATCTTAAACATTGTTGTACTTATGTGTTTTACTGCGATAAAATATTACCAATGATACCTGCCCAGTCTGAAATCTCATTAACAACAAGATGCTGATGTTTAACAGATTGCAAATTGATCATACAACAGCTCTCTGATCTTGTAGTATTCGTCGCACACTGCGCCATCCAAACCAATACGTCCAGCCTCGTTCTAGATGATCAAAAGATTTTACCTCAGCCGACAGTTTTCTGAACAAAGCGGCAGATTGATAGCGATATCACTACCAGAAAAATACAACAAATTCTTGTAGTTTTCAGGTACTTGTGTTAGTTGTCTCCTGAACAGGCTCGTACTGCTTGTTAAAAATTTTTAACAATGCTGTTTCAACAACTTGTCAACAAGATGTGTTTGCAAATACACGCATAAAAACGCACAGCTTGTAACAAGTCTGCAAACAAGTTGTTACAAGTCTGTTCACAAGCTGTCAACAAGTTGTGTTCGCACTGCTTGTTCCCAATTTGTTGTAACAAGAATTTTTTTTTTCTGTGTTGGTGTTGTGTACTCGGGTGAATAATATGTTTGCGATGTTAGTCTGAGTGCATATCCACACCCGGCGAGCTTGAAAAATATGCCCGGCCACGGTGGGATTCGAACCTACGACCTTTTTTGAATTTTTTTTTTTTCATATTTCATATTAAAATTCATATTACTAGAACACATTGGTATTGAAGGAACTAGATACTGTTCCGAAATATCACTTACACGAACCGTCCTGACCGCGTAGCTCAGTTGGAAGAGCATTGGGCTAGTATTTCCAAAAAGGTCGTAGGTTCGAATCCCACCGTGGCCGGGCATATTTTTCAAGCTCGCCCGGTGTGGATATGCACTCAGACTAACATCGCAAACATATTGTTGTAACAAGTTTGAAACAAGCTGTTAACAACTTGTAACAAGCTTGATGGCATTATCAGCCTTGTTACAAGACTGTGCTAACACGTTTGTTACAGCCGTGATATAACAAGGATGTTACAAAGTTGTCAACACAAGGTTGTAACAATATTGTTATACCAAGCATGTAACGGATTTGTCAGAACAACCTTGCAACAAGTCTGATAATTTCGACAAGGTTGTTACAAGTTGTCAACAAGTTGTTCCAAACCTGTTGACAACTTGTGACAAGCAGTGGAAATACACCTTGTTGATGGCTTGTTAACAAGTTGTAACAATGCTGTTCCAACAACTTGTCAACAAGATGTCTCTTCAACAGGTTTGTAGCAAGCTTGTTAAAAAGTTGTCACAATGCTGTTCCAACAACTTGTCAATACGATTTCTCCTCGACGGGTTTGTAGCAAGTTTGTCAACAAGTTGTAACAATGCTGTTCCAACAACTTGTCAACAAGATTTCTCTTCAAAAGGTTTGTAGCAAGCTTGTTAACAAGTTGTGACAATGCTGTTGCAATAACTTGTGAACAAGACTTTTAACAACAGGTTTGCAGCAAGCTTGTTAACAAGTTGTGACAATGCTGTTCCAACAACTTGTCAACAAGATTTCTCTTCAACAGGTTTGTAGCAAGCTTGTTAACAAGTTGTCACAATGCTGTTCCAACAACTTGTCAACAAGATTTCTCTTCAACAGGTTTGTAGCAAGCTTGTTAATAAGTTGTGACAATGCTGTTCCAACAACTTGTCAATAAGATTTCTCTTCAACAGGTTTGTAGCAAGCTTGTAAACAAGTTGTGACAATGCTGTTCCAACAACTTGTCAACAAGATGTCTCCTCAACAGGTTTGTAGCAAGCTTGTTAACAAGTTGTGACAATGCTGTTCCAACAACTTGTCAACAAGATGTGTTCGCAACCAACTTGTCAACAAGATTTGTTCGCAACAGGTTTACATACAGCAAGCTTGTTAACAAGTTGTGTTTGCGATAGGTTTGCAGCAACCTTGTTAACAAGTTCAGTGGTTTTGACCACTTGCCAGGGCAAGTTGGACATGAAAATTAGTTGCCCTGAGTAAAATTCACTTGCCATCAGACAGGGGGTATTCTGACGCGTTCTATCATCGACGCGTTCTTCCACTACTCATATGGTTATGTTATACTGCCTCAGATCTAGCTTTGGCCGACGAAAAACAAAATTTGAATCAAGTTCATGCACTATAAAAAATTTATATCCGACAATGCCAACATAAACTTAAAGATGCCCAGCTTTTTGTGGCAAGGCAACTTGCCCAATCGGGCAAGCATGATAAAATGTTTACTTGCCCGTCATGATATTCACTTGCCCCGGGCAAGTGTTAAGTTACACCTCTGTGTAGATATCCCTCGAGTTCCCAGCACAAATAGAGACCTCTGCCAGCAGGGAAGGATATCCCTATCAATCCAAAACTTTCATATTATTGCGACTACCTACATTTGTGAGAAATAAGAAATGACTTACTCTAGTTATAGCCAGGGCACCACTACAACATACCAACACTCCACCAGCAAACTCAGCCTGTACACCATTCTTCTGCAGAATCTGTTTAAAATCTGACAGCCTTGGATCATTGATATATACCTGATCATGCCCTGGAATCTGAAACATGTCGGAATTTTGGTTAACCCAACCTCAATCCTACATACATAAAATCTCACAACTTGTTATTATTATATTCTATATTTTACCAGGTTAACTTGTTCAGTTATTGAGTTCAATAGCTGGTATCCTACAAGACCTGTATTTACAGATAATATTAAAACTCTATTGGAAAAATGCCTCTGTTCTACATGCATATAAAAAATAAATAAACAATTTCAATAGATTTTTAAATAGATTTTTGTCAACAAGATGTGTTCGCAACAGGCTTGTAGCAAGCTTGTCAACAAGTTGTAACAATGCTGTTATTTTACCAAGTTGCTACAAGGTTGTCACTCACAACTTGTTGACAAATTGTTGAATTGCAGGACGATAACAAGTTGTTGGAACAACTTGTAACAAGTCTGTTGAGCTCAACAACCTTGTAGTAAGTTGTCAACAAGCTGGGAACAAGCAGTGCGAACACATCCTGTTGACAAGTTGTTGGAACAGCATTGCTACAAGTCTGCTGCAGGTTTGTTACAACTTGTGCGTTTTTTCATGTGTATTAGAAGAATGTTTGAGGTCATACCTCAGTCAAAGATAGTTGTTCTAAGACAGGCACAGAGTCAAAAGTATCCACATCCATTTTCTCTTCTCCTTGTGTCAAAGATTTCAAATGTTCCTTCACCAGCTGCCCATCAACCCAGGCTATCTCAGCATCACGTGTTTGGGAAAACTGCAGGGCACTTACCAAGGAATCGCGGAGTATAATCTGGGGGACGGAAGAATGTTATTCTTTAGTTTTCGGAGTATATTTGAAAGTTTTTTCTGCACTTCACATATTTATATATAATTAAAATCATAAATATCTTAAAATAACAATGTTTTTTTCGCTACTCTGAGTTTCACGATCTTGTCTGATCGATCTTCAGGCGATTTCGCTGGCGTTTGTATTACGCGCGGTAAAAATAACCACTTTTGGCTCAAAAATTGTTATTTTTAATTTCCCGCGCGTAATGCAAATATGTACAAAATTTGCGAACTTCACAGGGCTATATTTTCCTCATTTTACAACAACTCGCAACCAAACTTTGCAATTTTACTCATTTTAAGATACTCTTTCCAGCTATGGTAATGGATTTCGTTGTTCTTGTCCAGATCAAAATTTCGTCTCTAGTTCGAATCATACATTGCGAATAAACTGAGTTTCATTCTCTACCTGATAAATGTGACTTTCTCTCGTAGCATCCACCGTCTCGCCAGTAGCTGGCGTGAAAACCATCTTTACTTCCATGTCGCTGTTCTTTCGACAATATTCCGCCAAATGTTTCGTCGCATCTGGAGTACCATGGACAACCACCTTGGAGAAACAATAGCCAGTGTTTTGTCAGTCTTACTACAGGAGGAAGGGGTAAATATCTACCTAAAATGTTCATGTTTTGTGACTGGCTTTCAGAAACAAATATGATCATTGGGCCTAAAAAAAATACTTGCGGTTCCGGTTCCCGACCGACCCATTTTTTTTTCTGCCGACCCTATTATTTTTCCAACGCGATTGACCGTGCGACCCTATTTTCTCCGGGTGGTTGCGGGCTGCTCATACAGCGTGCCAAAATGGCGTCTGTTGTCACACTAATTATTGAAACAAATTGCCTAAATTCGTCCACAGGAAATACGCATCTCTAGTTAACATTGATGTCGGGATTCTACTACTGAAAATCGCCCAGCAAAAAACCCGCCAAAACCATGAGAAAATATTTAAAAAAAATTTATTTCCGACCTACCGACCCTAATTTTTTCGCGATATGAAACCGGAACCACAGGTATTTTTTTAGGCCTTGTTCGTGACTCGTTCTTTAGAAAGACGATTTCTATAGTTTTAGAGAGAGAACTAGGGCTTGGTCTGTGTGGCGATAATATACTGTAAATCTGTAATACTTGTGTTGGCTGGTGGAAAACAGCAGGTATTAGAACAGGGATAGTAGGCAGTGAAAATGAAACTTTCTATAACTATAGTTGGAAGTATAATCATTATAAATCGATTCGCAGTTAAACAAATTTAAAAATTATTCCCACATCGCTTAGATTTTTCACGTTGTTTATAAAATAGTAGCCAAAAATGGCGGATTTAGACTTTCGTGAGAAAGGTTAATTATGATCTGTGACTTACCAATTGTCTTGGTTTAACAATAGATATAATTCTTTTGATAGATTCGCCATCTGATCGACCTTCAAAGTCAATATACATGTACGAGCACCTAGGGAGAAATGCCATCACGTTTTTATAACCGTATGGAGAAAACTTTCTTCACAAAAGAATATTATTCTTGTCATACTTGATGTCTATTGTCTTTTTCTCCACAACACATTTTGTTGGAACACTGAAAGGATCGTCTAAATAAGTATGAAAATTCACGTTTTCGCTAAGAAAGACCGTTTTCTTCACATGAACAATAGCATAGAAGAAGTCTGGTTTACACTATCAAAGTTTCTGTGATCACAGTAGGAATTTTGCAGAGGTAAATTCTAAATTTTGAAGGATTAACACTAAGTCAGTTTCCTCAAAAATTTCTTACAAATCCTTCAAAACTTAGAATTTACCGATGCAAAATTCCTACTGTGATAACAGAAACTTTGATAGTGTAAATTAAGTCGTTTTACCTTGCACAGGTACCATTTCTGTGTCTGACGCTCCAGAATCAGGTTCCTAGTTTGAAAAATAATAATATATGTTCATCGAAATAACTCTGGATAAAACTGGCTAGCTTTGCACTACCTAGAGGGTACTACATGGGGAAATCTTCTGTTGTGAAGACTCATCCTCGTACTCAAGTGGCTGTGGCACCAGAGTGTAAGAAAATAGCCTGGGTACGAGGCTGGTAAAGACTTACTGTCTTAATTTTCGTCTCCTCCTCAGGCGCATTCGCCTCAGGTATGATGTAATCCTCAGGTTTGATGATCTCTCCATATTCATCCCACTTCACTCTGTCCTCCTTGCAAGGGAACATGGGATACGACTTGGCTTGCTTGAAGAAACTACTCTTGTGTCCTCGCTGATAACACAAAAAGGAAATTGTTATTTTTGGTAGAAATCCGTGATTAGCGTATCGTGGAAAAATTGAAGAAACTATGATGTGAAATAATCTGGATCTATCTTGTCTTTTGTAAGCTACATTCAAATCATTCTTTACTGAGATATATCAACATTTTGTTGGCGTCTCGCTTGATTGAATACTAGTTGAAAGGTATTATAGATGGAAATTATTGAGTGGAAATTTGTATACATTTATTACACCTAACCAGGAACAGAAGCGAAAAATGCAACTTTAGATCCCTGGCAGGAATTGAACCTGCTGCCCTGCGATTCCGGTGCAGCGCTCTAACCACAAGTTCATTTGTAAAAAGATCGACAACTGGGCTCTGTAGCTCAGGTGGTTAGAGCGCTTCACCGGAATCCCAAGGCTACACGTTCGATTCCTGCCAGGGACCTACAGTTTTCGCAGCTGTTCCTGGTTAGGTTTAATAAGTGTATTTATGATATGGCTTTTCAAAATTCTCTATTCTGATTGGTTGACAAGCGGTCCGTAAAAACCCATATCCGGACCGTGGTCCGTCTTTTCCGTATCTGGACCGGTGTCCCGGATGTCGTTTATCTGGCGGGAAATTTTTGCTTAAGCCTGGCGCACACGATGCGATTTTAGTCGGCCGATAAAAATCGTTTGACTAAAACTAACAAAATCGTTGTGTGTGCGGTGTCATTTTTAACCGATTTTTGTTGCTCGGTTTTAATCGGACAGCATCAAAACGTTTTGATATTATACGATTTTTATCGGTGGAATTTTAAGTATGACCAATCAGATTTCGTGCTGTGATCACGTGCTTGTATTTATTTGGCAACATGGCGGCTACAGTTCAGGGAGCATATCTTACTAAAAAACCTCGGTTTGATATTTCACAGTACAGACCTCACGCTCGGTCGATAAGCCGTTAATACATTTGCACTCGATAATTTCCACTCGACAATACCCTTCAACAGAGATACATCAACACTGTTTTCCATCAGTCATATTGACATGGTTTTACTACCTTCTCGTCTGACATCATGAGATCATGTCGCGCTTTTCCTCCAAATGTCAAACCAATCCCTTCATCTTCGCTGTCACTGTCACTTTCTGGAACTGTTTCTTTGCTAAACGATTCAAATTCAAATTAGACTTCTACCACATCAGTCTTTCAAATCAGTAACAATAATAATGCCTCAACTGTAATTTTTTTATTTAAAGTATTAATAATCACGCTTTTTGGTCTCTGAATTTCGACTCAAATCGTTCATTGTGATGAGCTGGATGGCGGCAATATGTTAATGGAATAGTGTTTAGTTTGTAAATTAATCGTACCTTTTATTTGCTGCCTCTGTCATCTTTTTATCTTTCTCTTTTTCCTTTTGTACTTCCCAGTAATGTTCTAGTTCTTCTCCTTCTAACTTAATTCTAGTTTTAACCTACACGAGGTAAAACAATCTTTGTGATAAACTAAAATCTTGTTTCGCTCGCTACTCTGGTTTAAATATAAGAATACAAAGCCCAGTCGAATTGTAATCAAGACCCAACGTTTCGACACTCCAGTCTAGTGTCTTCATCAGGGGTGATCTAAAATTGCAATCGTGGCTTCTTAAATACCCAAGGAATATTGCAGTGAACGAACAAACTTTAAAACTAAAATCTAGTTTACACTATCAACGTTTCTGTGATCACAGTAGGAATTTCGCATGGGTAAATTCTATAAGTTTTGAAGGATTTGTAAGAAATGTTTGAGGGAATTGATGACTCATAACGGTCGTAAAGATTGAGTCACGATCTTTCTCAACAGTCGAAATACAACGGTTTAGAATTGAACATAGACATAGTGATTATAAATACAGAATACTTATTATTTATATGTGGTTTACAGGTAAAAAGCATTTATAATCTGGCCGTTGAGAAAGACCGCGAAGATATCTTTATGACCATATGGAAACCTGGATTAAGGCCGAAGCAAAATGGTGGAAATCATCGTTGAATTATTTGTGTCGTGACTTGCAAGAGCTGAATACTGACCTCCAAGTCAATTTTCGTTGTATTCGGATTATCAATCAGCTTTCTTGCTAAGGATCCAGGAGAAGTTCTACTCGAGAATATAATACTGTTCTTTTCGTCCTCTGCCCACTCAATGAATAAATCTTTAGCAAAACCCGATGTGAGATCTTGCATACTAACTAGCACCACCTACAATGCAAAGTTCTGTGTAATACACACACGTAAAAATCTCACAACTTGTCAACAAGATGTGTTTGCAACAGGTTTGCAGCAAGCTTGTCAACAAGTTGTAACAATGCTGTTATTTTATCAAGTTGCTACAAGATTGTCACTCACAACTTGTTGAAAAATTGTTGAATTGCAGGATGATAACAAGTTGTTGGAACAACTTGTAACAAGTCTGTTGAGCTCAACAACCTTGTAGCAAGTTGTCAACAAGCTGGGAACAAGCAGTGCGAACACATCCTGTTGACAAGTTGTTGGAACAGCATTGCTACAAGTCTGCTGCAGGTTTGTTACAACTTGTATGTTTTTACGTTGAGGCACAAGTCATGAAAGCTTACTGTATTTACCTTTGGAGAGGGAACTTTCTCTAATTCCGCCAAATTGTGACAAAGTTTACAATATCTAAAATGGAAAATTATTCCCATTACAAAATCCATCAAACATATTTATTTTATTGTTTTTAATCCATTCAGTACCAGCACCCTCCCCTTGACTCACTAAAATCACCCAATGTTAGACAGAGTATATAAGTAGGGACATTAGGGTGCAATGCAACTTATTAATTGGTTAATATATCTGTATTTTTACTATCAAATGCAGTTTGATTTTACTAACTTAAACTGGTAAGGATTATTTCGACCAACTTCAAATGATTTCATGACTTTGTCGCTCATCCATTCAACGAGTGATTTGGCAAACTCCACAACGTTGTAGCTGACATTATTCAACAACGCCAGAGAATACGCCAACAATCCCGAGTCTGGATTACGCCACAGCTGATCCTGGAAACGACAAGAACTGCCTTTGTTCATTGCACTTACCAAAACAAAGCGAATTAGGAATGAGCTGATAATGAGAAATTAATTGGCAGAAGCAGATAATCGGCAGCCTGCTCGCAGCTCGAAATTAAATCCCTAAATTACGCAACAAATTCGGTCTGGGAGAAGGCTAATAATCGGCAACTTTCATGCAAATTGGTTACCAGCTGATTACATCGATATATATTGGCAGTCCAATAAATATCATTCTGACTTTTACTTGTGATATTTCCTTTTCTTTGCCAACAAAAATAGTGGTTTTTTGGACAGATTCTCTTCCACCAAACACTTTCAGATTCACTTATGCTTTAAGTCATTTATCAGGATACTTGTCAGGATACTATCAGGATACCGAAATATATTGATTACAAAATTAAATAGAGAATAATACATGGATGCTTGGAAATACCAAATTTATTTCGAGTGTTGAACATGATATATCACGAGTGAGCGCAGCAAACAAGTGAGATATCATGTTCAACACGAGAAATAAATCTGGCATTTCAAAGCACCCATGTATTTTTCTGTTTATTATATTACAGGTAAACTACGTGAAGCGTTCCTCTTTTGACTTCGTAACTCATTTGGAATTTTCCTCATTAGCTTTGCAAATTTGAAAAACTCTTTGCAAATCCCTTGAGGGAATTTGCAATGTTCCTATCGGCTGTTGCAATATTCCAAACTTCATTTTAAATTTTCCTAACTTCCTGTTTTAATTTCCTAACTTCCTGTTCTGTTCTGAGCGTTGTTATTGGTCCATTATTTTTCTTAGCCAATTGCAACGCCCAGAACAGAACAGGAAGTTAGGAACTTGTAACAGGAAGTTAAGAACTTCTAACAGGAACTGAGGAAAATTTTTTTGGCTTTTAGCAACATTGCAAATTCCCTCAAGGGATTTGCAAAGGAGTTTTTTAAATTGCAAAAGTAATGAGGAAAATTGCAATCAATTTAGAAACTCAAAAGAGGAACGCTTCACGTAGTTTACCTGTAAGGACAGTCTTTGAAAAGCGATAATTTTTACAGAAAAGCGACAATGGAAAAGCAATAATTTTCACATGTGAAATTATCTCACATGTGAGATTATCAGTTTTATCAGTGCTCGAAATCTCTATAAAGCATTATACTTTATATAATAAGTAAATTTAATCCTTGACTATCGTAATGATATTTCTGTTACTGGTCGGCTAACTCTTGTTACGTTTTACTAACATTTTGCCCCAATTTTGAGTGTTGGGAATTCCTGTTAAGAAATATCGGTAACTGCCAATATATAGGCTGATCGGATGGTAAATCGGAGCTGGATTTATCGGATCAGTAAATTTGATTTTTCTTGATCAGCTCATCCCTAAAGTGAACGACAAAAGTTTTGTTAACTTACCAGTAATTGTGACAGTTCTAACTTACCAGCAATTGTGACAGTTCTAAAATACGGCCAGCAGTATCGACTGTTAAGAGGACATTACCACCTCTTCTTGTTGTCTTTAATATTTGAGCTGGAATTAAATTTAGAATTAGTCATGGACATGAGGGTGGCTTTTGCCAATTCAATATTCCTAGTGGTAACATACACATGAGTTGTGTGTCTCTGTCTCGCCTCCTGGCTTGCATATTCAGAACATTATAAGAATCAGTGATGAGTAAGGATGGTCTGCTTAACGTCTCCAGGACAGCGCCATTTAAATGTCTAAACAAATTAAAATAAGTTAGGGTAAAGCTATAGTGTTAAGGTTAGAGGTAAATATTTCTCACTTGATTGAATATGTCAAGGTTTTGTAAATGGAAATTCTGAGTGTGAAGTTCTGCTATTTGAAAAGGGAGTTCTGCCATTCGAAACGGCATTTGAAAATAGAGTTCTGGCATTTGAAAACGGAGTTCTGGCATTTGAAAAGGAAGTTCTGGCATTTGAAAATCAAGTTCTGCCATTTGTAAAGGGAGTTCTGCCATTTGAAAACCAAGTTCTGCTATTTGTAATGGGAGTTCTGTCATTTGAAAAAAGAGTTCTGGCATTTGAAAACAGAGTTCTGGCATTTGAAAAGGGAGTTCTAGCATTTGAAAACCAAGTTCTGTCATTTGAAAACAAAGTTCTAGCATTTGTAAAGGGAGTTTTGCGCCCTGGAGCGCTGCACCAGAATCACAGGGCTGCAGGTTCGATTCCGGCCATAGGGCCTATGGCTGTATTTTTTGCAACTGTCTAATAAATGTATGAAAAATTACATGCCCCTACAAAACTCTTCAAAGGTTGGAATGATTTTAAAGTGTTAATGTTAAGATATCACTAAAATGATCCAAAGTATTGATGAACCTTTCTTTCTTATGATTATAATCCACAGCATAAATTATATCTTCTTCACCATCTTTAACAATCTTCCACATCGTTCCTCCTATCATGTGACCCGCTGCGTATGGTGTGATGGTTAGACCATGACCTTTCCCTGCAATCATATCACTCAATCATACACTTTTGTCAGCATCCTCAGATACTACCACACACGTAAAAATCTCACAACTTGTCAACAAGATGTGTTCGCAACAGGCTTGCAGCAAGCTTGTCTACAAGTTGTAACAATGCTGTTACTACCATTTTCGAGCTTCCGTGAAGCGTGCACTTATAACTACGTTTCAAAACGTTTCTTCAGCATGAGTTTGTCAATCATAACTTTTTGTTTTGCAATAGTAACTTTTGTGGGCATGGTGTCAAGCACATTGTTTTGCACGCGGAAATTTCTTCTTATTTTTCACACGGACTGACTTTATACTGACAAAATTGCTATAGAAAGCGAAATAACAGATTTATAGCACCTTCTGGATATGTTTACGTAACAAACCTCTGTAATACATGTGTCCTTTTGAGTTTTGACTCCGAAATTCAAAGTTTCGCGTGCAAAGCAATATGTTTTATACCACGCCCACAGAAGTTATTATGTCAAAACAAAATGTTTTAGGAGCGAAATAAAAAGTTTTGAATGACAAATTCATGCTGAAGAAACGTTTTAAAACCTAGTTATAAATGCACGCTTCACGGAAGCTCGAAAATGGTAGTATTTTATCAAGTTGCTACAAGGTTGTCACTCACAACTTGTTGACAAATTATTGAATTGCAGGACGATAACAAGTTGTTGGAACAACTTGTAACAAGTCTGCAGAGCTCAAAAACCTTGTAGCAAGTTGTCAACAAGCTGGGAACAAGCAGTGCGAACACATCCTGTTGACAAGTTGTTGGAACAGCATTGCTACAAGTCTGCTGCAAGTTTGTTACAACTTGTGCATTTTTACATGTTGGCATTGAAAATCAAGTACTGAAGCAGAAACAAAAGAGTCTTTACCTTTCAAACTGACGTGTTGGGAGTACTTGAGCTGGATAATTTTATCAAATGCAGCATCAACGTCATCCAGAGAAAACAACTCAAAATCTTCGTAATTGTGACGAGACTGAAATTATGACAATAATTCACTAATTGAGCTGCAATGCATCCAAAACACGTCACTTTATTTTGCTCAGTCTGTCTAACGCCAGATGGTTTCACTTGCCAAGGGAAGTCTTGCACACTTCAATGGGATAACCAAACAATTGGCCAATGTGTTTTATATCTGTAATCTGTTATTATTCTGTAATCACACTCATGCAAAACTTGTACCATAGTGTAGTAAGCGGGTATATTACCTGGTAAAAATCATACATAAACATCTGCCCCATCTTGTACACGGGAATGGTGCAATAAACTGGACAGTTTAGACCAGCTTTGCCAACAAGATAAGGTAATGCACCAAGATGATAGATGTCGGGATAGCTCAGCAACACTGCATCAATTTGATTCACATGCCTGACAGAGCAATTATTCAACAATTAATATCACATGACTACAACCTATTTATGTTGGTATTGTAAAAGTATCAGACCAGGGATGGATTTACTGGGGGGGGTTGTGCACCCCCCCCCCCCTTAGCCCTGGACAGAGGGGGGTGCTATTTTTCATGATAAAGCAAAACATTATTAGAGGCAAAATGAGATATGGTAATTTGAGTAATAACATGATGATAAGCAAACTGTGAACAACAATTACAATTCCGAATACAGCAGTCAAAGCAAGACTTTGCAGTAGTGAAGCAAGTTGATGGGCGGGCAGCACACATGACCGACACAACTCGGCACCAGAGCTGGCAGAGCACCCCCCCCCCCCCCCCCCACCAGATCATGCTGCATCCATCCGACCATCCCTGTATCAGACCACAAGACCATTAGTCCAAGAAAATGTTTTGAAGCCCAGGAAATATTTCCTCAAGAAAAGATAATTGAACACACAAATAAAATTTGAACACACAAAATGTTTCATCAAACACAACAATTGTACAGTGGCATGCATCTTACCGTTTGATAGGCTCGATGGTCTCAACACAGAGAAATTCATCCCAGCCACAGTCCAACAGAAACCGAAATTCATCAACTTGTAAAAGATAAGCGAGTGGAGTCTCATCCTGTCCTCCGGATAAAACTGTTAACTTGATAATAGAAGTCATTGCCAATGTCGTTCCTTGCTAAAATTCAAACTGCATCAAAAATAAGATCTGCCGCTCAGCCACATGGTCGGGAATTTCCAGCTTAAACTTGCACTAAATATCCACCAATTTTCCTTAAACTAAGACACTGTCAAGAAAAATATCAGATCCTATCTTTCAAGTATTTATATTTGTAGAAGACGGATTCCAAACTGTAGTTTTTAAAGCAAAAATTCAACTACTCCTTTGCACATTTTACTCCAGTTCAATCCGCCATATTTGCAGGCATCCGCGGGCAGTTCCCCCATGCGGGCTAATTCACCTTGCGTAAAAAGCAGAGCGTAAAAAGGTAGCTCGCTTCGCGTACAAATTTATCTTCAGAAATTTTGACACCAGCTGTTGAGCGAGGAAATTAGATTAGCCTATTTATATCACTCAATTATAATCACGGCCAGTTTTCAACGCAATACGTGTTGCGCAAAACTTAATTTTCAGAAACACTTGATGTTTTCCAGGTGATTAAAGATTTATTGTATCAAAAAATATTTAAAACGCGTTTCTTGGCATGGTGCTGGTTTCCGCAGAGTCGACTTCACAAACGTCGACGCAAATATTAAACCACATCTTTCTATTCTCTATTTCTTTGTCTCCAAGACTGCGACATAGAGAAAAACGCCAAATGATTTTAGCTTTTGGACACTTTTCATTGCAGATACGCGACGTTGAACAAAATTGCCTTTTAACTATATTTTTTTTCACTCTGATAACTAACACGTTGAGCACCTACCTACCGGGCGGTGCGCCCTCTTGAAATTCCATCCACCAGATGAGTGAAATGAAATGTTTAATTCCTTTGTCCAATCAACACCAATTACTTCGAAATCATTTTTATATAAAACCCCATGCAGTTTTTCCATTGGAATGTACGTAAGAGCCATAGCAAGGCCGAGCGAGGCTATAAAGACGGCTCTGCCCACCACATACCGTTCAGAACACTGCACAGTAACAAACTGTTTGTACAACGTTGGCTGCGTTTCGCAGAAATAGACCATCAGAATCAAATCTATCCAAGCAAGTTTAAAGTACAGCAGAATGGCGAATGTCTACAGAATTGCAGCTCATCTGTTACTCGTGTTTGTGTTAGGTAACGTTGGATGTATATTATCGCATACAAAATGCGCAATAGATATTTATGTACTTTGATTTTATGTTCGTGCAAATATTTGTAGTTTTTTAGGGTCAAATATTTTGTATTGCGATGCCTTTTACCTCGCCTTTTCCTGCACAATATTGTACAGATCATGAGGATTTTGGACATTGACACTCGCTATAACTCATTGTAGAAGAGTTTTGTACATGGAGATGTCGAGTCCATGAGAAGTTCATACATTTATTAGACTTACCAAGTAGCAATTGCGAAAAATGCATCTATATGGATCCTCCGGTAGGAATCGAATATTGTCGGCCAATTTTAGTCACGGATTAATATGAAACTCAATAACTCATTTCTATGGAATGCGTCTTATTTATAGCCCATAATTCAAATACGTGTTTAATAGACTAACGCCTGTATTCTAAAATCTCACAATCAAAGAGTGGAGGTTCAATCTGAGCTTCTCTTGAGTGTCAATACTGTTTTTGAATATCTGGAGGGTTAGTAGTCACATAGTAATAAGGTACTGACCCTCCAGTTATTCAAAAACAGCACTGACACTCAAGGGAAGCTCAGATTTACCCTCCACTCTTTGAGTGTGAGTGAGCTGTTAGAATACAGGCGTTAGTCGGTCGGTCTGCATAGGCTGGCTAAATTAAGTTCGACTCCTTCTATATTAAACTCAGACAGAAAGTGATTATCAAAATAAAACGATCATACTTAGATCAGGCATGTTTGCGCCAGAGTAAAAACTTCGGTTTTGCAAAGTCCGGATAATTTAGGTTGTATCTCGATGGGTAACCCCTAACATCAAACACCGAACTTGAATTGTTTTCAGTCATTGGATTGTACAACGATCAGCATATAGTATTTCAGTATGCGTCACCGCGAGATAGCAGATGGTGGGCAACCAACGTTGATACTGATAGAAAATTAAACTAACGCTATGTTTCCACTAAATCGGATGGCTTTCCGCAGCGACGAGAAAAAGCATCTATCCGATACGGAATGTACAACTTTCAGAAGCTGAGTGAAACAACATCTCTCCGTTGCAATAATTCCTCTGAAAATAGCGTTCCTAAAAGGTACGGATAGATGTCCTTTCACGTCGCTACGGAAACCTATCTGGTACAGTGACAACGTTGCCGAAATCTCTCTTTCTCACGAGTATCAAATCATTTTCTGAAAAAATATGTTTAAAATAGTGTTTGTTGTAACAACAAATGCGGATCATTTAACAGTCGGCTGCTAATTCCTATCGTTCTTCTACGTCGATGTATCTGAAAAAATAACCCGATGCATTTGCGTCAATGCGCACTTTATCACTCTTCGATGTAACAATTGCACGTAGAGTGGAATACGGGAATACGTTAGAGATTGGTAGCCTGCGTCGCAGTCGCTTTATTTTATTGAATGTTTTGAGGATTTTAAATAAATGGCGGATTTATTCAAAAATCCTCAAAACCTTCAATAAGATAAAGCGACTGCTACACAGGCTATGAGATTGGGGGCGTAATAGATAAATTCCATGATCTTACGTTCTGTCACGTTCAGAATTTTTTGGCGCAAGACTCTGCGCACGAGTAAAATTCCGCATCAGTCTTGTACCGCATTCTACGCAAATTAACCTTGCTTCTGTACCGCATTCTATGCAAATTAGTCCTGTTTTTGTACCACATTCTACGCAAATTACGTTAGATATACCGGTCTCATCAAATGGATTGATTTAAAATATCATCGATGTTAATTCACGTCCTGCCTTGTAGAATCATGACGTTCTGAGCGATACGCTTTTGCCAGAGGCCTCACCTCCTGACGAAAGTTCTTTTCGGATTTGCCAGGTTGTTTCAAGGTCGATGTGCATTACACAACTTTTGCCTAAAACTGTCGCGTGCAACCTGCTTGCAACTTGAGTTGTACTGTGTAAATCAAGCATACAACTCACTTACGCTGTTGCAGGCGAGTTGTTGGCTTGATTTATACCGTACAACTCAAGTTGTAAGCAAGTTGCATGCGACAGTTTTGGGTAAAAGTTGTGTAGTGTAAATCAGACAATAAATCGCCTTAACTCGTCCTTGAATCATTCTCTTGTAATTTTCAGTGAACGGCCATCCCCTTCAAAAACACCGAGAAAAGCGTATCGTTGGAGGAACGCCCGTCACAAAGCCAGGGAAATGGCCATGGATTGCGACTCTCGTATTTAACCAAACCCACTATTGTAGTGGATCAATTATTGACAAGAAATGGATCGTCACTACTGCACATTGTTTTCATGGTAAGTTCGTTCTAGTGCGATATTTTCAGACAGAACACAAGGCAGCTAATTGTAGAATATTGTAGAATACTACCTACACTGGACCACAACGTTTCGGATATATTTTTCATGCAGGTAGTTCAGACACAAACCACGGTAGCTTATTGTAGAATACTACCTACACTGGACCACCACGTTTGAGATATCTTTTTCAGGTAGTTCAGACACAAACCACGACAGCTTATTGTAGAATACTACCTACACTGGACCATCACGTTTGAGATATCTTTTTCAGGTAGTTCAGACACAAACCACGACAGCTTATTGTAGAATACTACCTACACTGGACCATCACGTTTGAGATATCTTCTTCAGGTACTTCAGACACAAACCACGACAGCTTATTGTAGAATACTACCTACACTGGACCAACACGTTTGAGATATCTTTTTCAGGTAGTTCAGACACAAACCACGACAACTTATTGTAGAATACTACCTACACTGGACCACCACGTTTGAGATATCTTTTTCAGGTACTTCAGACACAAACCACGACAGCTTATTGTAGAATACTACCTACACTGGACCACCACGTTTGAGATATCTTTTCCAGGTAGTTCAGACACAAACCACGACAGCTTATTGTAGAATACTATCTACACTGAACCACCACGTTTGAGATATCTTTTTCAGGTAGTTCAGACACAAACCACGACAGCTTATTGTAGAATACTACCTACACTGGACCACCACGTTTGAGATTTCTTTTTCAGGTAGTTCAGACACAAACCACGACAGCTTATTGTAGAATACTATCTACACTGGACCACCACGTTTGAGATTTCTTTTTCAGGTAGTTCAGACACAAACCACGACAGAAGCTCACATTCTGTTCATTTTCAGATAATCACAGTTCAACAAAAGCTCGTGATTGGTTGGTCAAAGTTGGTAAACATGACATCAGTAAACAAGAAAGTCATGAACAAAGTTTGAAAGTGAAACGAATCATTCGACATCCGAACTATACTAACATGTGGGACAAGTTCAAGATTGATAGACCTGATGACAATGACGTAGGTAAGTAGAGAGCTTTACATTCACTGCGAGTTTTAAAACATTCGCCAGACTTTCTCTGTCTTGAGTTTGTTGAGTTTCTCACTCGCTGGCGAGTGGATTTCCCAACAGGCAATAGCTCAATTGATTGGGGATCCGAGGTACCTATATATACGATTTAACGTCCTTATCCGAGAAAGTCTAACCATTTACTGATGTCAATGTAAAGGTAGCTCTTTCTCCACAATTATTTTAAGACCTTGAATAGCGATCCGACCAATGATTGAACTCAACTTGTTGTTCTTAAAGGTTAACTTCGTGCTCTTTTCATGTTAATATCTGTTCAAATATATCAATGTGTTAATGTGTGTTTGTGTCTTTAAATATTTATGAAACGTATAACTATTGTTGTCTTAATTCTTGGGTTGGTCTTAATATGGGATTCTTGTCCTATTGCCCATATCTTCAACATTATTTCTTCATCTATGTGTATATTCTTAAATTTAATATCTATTTGTTCATGTGGCAAAGGTTGTAAAGTTAATAAATAAATATATTTCTTTTCGTTTTCAGCTCTTCTAGAATTCCTAGGCCACATCAACTATACAAGCTATGCAAAACCAATCAGACTTTTGGGCGACGGCACAAGATTTCGCCCTGGTCACAAATGTAACATAGCTGGCTGGGGCCATACACACTTCGAGGGCAAGACTCAAGACATCTTGCGTGAAGTGGCTGTGGAGCTCGTCTCAAGAAAGAAATGTAACAGTCCGATATCGTACAATGGGACAGTTCACAACCGAGCAATATGCGCAGGGTACGAGGGCGGTGGCCGAGACGCGTGCCAGTACGATAGTGGTGGACCGCTGTTCTGTAGAAAGGCTGGAAGATGGTACTTGGTTGGTCAGGTGTCTTGGGGGGATAAGTGTGGATTACCGCATAAATATGGAGTATATTCGAACATGCAGCGATTGACACCGTGGGTAAAAAGTATCATAAAAACTCCCCGCAATATCCGTAATCGTCATGGCTAAAAATAACCTGTGAACAGGCTCTCCAAATAAGGACAGTCTACGGCTAAATACGAAATATAAACAGCACGAATTCTTATCTGGTTATATATGGTTAAAACTTGTAAATATTATACAATATAATCAAAGGATAATTCTGTAATATCAATCTTTCATTTCAAAATTACTATTTTAAAAGATATTTTATATCGATTACCAAATTGTCACAAAATTCAGCATACATCAGGCCCAACAATCTGCTGAGTGCAATGAATGTGTATCAGTGATGGGTATGCTTACAAATTATCATAATTACATGTTTGTTAAGTCTAAACTTTGTGAATAAATATTGACATTTTATTTCATTGTTTATTCCAATTGAAAGAAAGTATTATTGCTTTTGTAGAATAATTCGTCTCTGTGTAACCAAATCACATGTAAATTTAAATGAGAGTGTGGTTGTTAAGTAATCTTATTTAAATACTAAGGCACTGGTTGGCCTCATTTTTTGAAGCGAAAACTAAAGTATAGCGAAGTCCTAGGCCCACTTCAATGCCGCGGGGGCTTCAACTGGACTATACCAGGGAGAAGCCCCTCAGGACTGGACCACGGCTGATAAGGTGATACATTCCGAACGTACAATCAACTCCATAGCTTAGCTGCTGGACTAGAAAGTATACATACGAAACTCACATTCAACCACAGAGCTCAGAGTACATACCAGAGCTGAATTGTTGGAGTACATAGCTAGCTATAACATACCTAGTTACTACATGCCTCAGTTGTTGAACAAGATCTGTCTGAGAGCATTGGAAGATGACGAGGAGTTGGTGATCGTAGGAAGATCCAATGACGGTCGTAAAGATGAGCCGAGAAGAGCATTGCCAGTCTCTGAAGATCTAACAATTCAAATAATTCCACATTCTTCACAATGAATTTAAACTAAGCAGTGCCCGCCCTGAAAATCACTCACGAGATGAGTGACTATACTAGACACGGATGTTCTGTTTGGACGAAATTGAGGGGAGGGGGGGGGGGGGGGTGTGG